TGGTGATGTGAGAGCCTGGTCCGGTGAGAACCCGGCGTGCTCCGTCCCGGCTTTGTAGGGATGCGAGGTCAATGGTCTAACGACTACGGCATGCACGACTATGAGTACACGCCCCCCATCCCCCGTATCTAAGCTATTCCGCGCCTGGAGACGGTCGATGGCTGGCCAAGCAACAACCCTCGAAAACGGAGTGCCATCATGGTAAGCGACGAGGACAGGGCAGAACTGGGAATCCCATCCCTACGATCTGGAAGAGACGCAAGGAAGCCAAAATGGAAGTATCGCATGTACGGGATGGGAGAGGAGAGGTTGCCGAGAACAGGGTGGGACGCAAAGTGGGCCAACAAAAAGAGGGGAAGACAACCCACGGAGTGGATCAAGGTTGTAGAGGACGTATGGAACGAGTTCGAAATTGACGAGGGTAATACGCTGGAAACGGAAGGTCTAGAGGGGTTCACGAGGACATATGTTGCTTTTGCCGAGAGACAAAAACAGAATACCACTGAAGAACCAAGTATAAAGAGGGTCTAGATGTATACGGAATGTTGAACGAACGAACAGGGTTAAAGGGGTACCTACACGGGCCAATGGATGCAGGGACAAAGCTGAAGGAGAAATTTAGGACCGGGAACATTTCCTTGGAGAACGTAGACGAACATATAGGGAGGTAGACGATCAAGATGACAAGTTCAAATGTGATTGCGGTGACGAGTGCCAAGACCGGGTCCATGTAGCTACGGAATGTCCGTTGTACAAGAAGGAGATGGAAGTGCACGTGACTGAGCTGGGAAAAGTAGAAGGAAGATACAGGGAGATGTTTGAGGCATGGAATAGCCAGGACAAGGCGACAGCTGGGACAAAGTAAGGTACTAAGTGGGTTGAAAAGGCGAGAAGTGATATCGATAGGATAGGTAGGCTAGGGAAAAAAATTTTGAGCCACCTTTAGCAAAGTAGGAAGGAACGATTGGCCATCGGTGTTCGGTCCTGTGGGAACAATGCTCCGTCCTCTCGAGGACGCGTGGTCAATGGTCTAACCGCTAAGGCATGCAAAACATAAGAGTTACCCCGCCCCCCTTCTAGACTTAAATGAGTTGGCGCTGTTGGCAAAGCGCTGTAAACCACGCCACCCCAAATATAGCCCCCATAGTATGCGCTACCAAAGACGCGTGACGCATGGACGAGTGGAGTGAGGATAGCTGTTTACGGCAACCTCACAAGTTGAGTGATGTAGGAGATTGCCGGACACATAGACATGTTGAGTGATTATAGCTGTATACTGAAACCTCAAGGGTTGAGTGAGGTTTGAGATTGCCAGACACATTGACGGGTTGAGTGGGGATAGCTACATACTGATACCCCACGGGTTGAGTAATGTTGGGAGTGCCGGACACATGGACTCGTTGAGTGAGGATAGACACATACTGAACCTCACAGGTGATTTGTGACGGAGATTGCCGGACACATACACGTGTTGAGCGAAGATAGTTGCATACTGAAACCTCACAGATGGATTGGTTTTTGAGTTTGCCAGACACATAGACGCGTTGAGTGGGGATAGCTGCATACCGAAACCCCACGGGTTGAGTAATTATGGGAGTGCCAGACAGACACGTTGAGTGGGGATAGACACATACTGAACCTCACAGGTGATTTGTGACGGAGATTGCCGGACACATACACGTGTTGAGCGAAGATAGTTGCATACTGAAACCTCACAGATGGATTGGTTTTTGAGTTTGCCAGACACATAGACGCGTTGAGTGGGGATAGACACATACTGAACCTCACAGGTGATTTGTGACGGAGATTGCCGGACACATACACGTGTTGAGCGAAGATAGTTGCATACTGAAACCTCACGAGTTGAGTGATGTTGGATAGTGCCGGACACATAGACGCTTTGAGAGGATAGCTGCATATTGAGACCTCACGGGTTGAGTGACATTTGCGACTGCCGGACACATAGACGCGTTGAGTGAAGAAAGCTGCATACTGAGACCTCACAGGTTGATTTGTATTGGAGATTACCGGACACAAAGACGCATTGAGTGAGGATAGCTGTATACTGAAAATCCACAGTAGCTAAAGTGAGGGGACAATTCGAGAATGCAGTACACAAAGACCCGACCCCCAACCCGTACCCGGACCCCCCCTGAAAAATAGAGACCATGCGCCGCCCCCCCCTCTCTACCTCCCCCAGGATGAGGAGGGTACAGTCCGAAGTAAGCACAAGCTTACATAAGGTTAATGCCTATTGGTACGGCATTGAAAAAAAAATTCTCAAGTCCCCCAGTGGGCGGTGGAGGACTTACAGCTAAGACACCCCAAAACTCTCTGGCGTGACATCCAAAATGGATCGGACGGTGGGAGGAGGGGGGGGTGTTCGTTGCTTGAAGTGGATCAATAAAACATAGAGCCATCAAAGCAAAGTTTATTACTAACGTCCAGCAAGCTGAACGACCAGACCAACCACGCAAAAACTGCGGAGCTAGATGTGCGGCACGCACCATGCATTGCGTTCGATTGGAGAGAGGCGAGTACAAAGCAGTAAGGAATTGTTGGCCAAACTTTCGGCAGATAAGTCTACTCGGGAGCGCAAGTGGGGTAGCGACCCATGGTGGAGCGTACATGAAAGGGTGGACGTTGGTGTACGCTCCATCCCGGCGTGTGAGTAGGATCTTAGGCTATGCAAGTCGTCCCTGAACTTATTGTGGCGAAAATGACCTCCCACGAGGAAAGTAGGCTGTACCGCGGGACTTCGGAGATGATAAATTGGGTGGTCGGGGGACGTCTGGGCGTTTACTAAGCAGAGCGTACGGAATATCGAAGGAAGGAATAGGGTTCAAGGATTACCTACATGGACCAATGGATGCAGGAACAAAGCTCAACGTCAAATTCAGGACCGGGGACACAGGCCTTCGAGAACGTCGACGAAGACATAGGACGGTAGACGACGAAGACGACGAGTTCAAATGTGATTGCGGCTTCGAATGCGAAGATCGTGCTCATGTAGTCGCGGAATGTCCGTGGTACAAGAAGGAGAGGGAAGTGTTCGTGACTGGGCTGGGAAAAATAGATGGGACGTACAGGGAGATGTTTGAGGCATGGAATAGAGAGGAAAGAACGGTAGCTGTACTGGGGCATAGGAGGTGGGTTGGAAAGGCGGGAAGGGAAATCGTTAGGATAGACAGACCAGGGAAGACATTTTTGAGCCACCATTGGCAAAGTAGAAAGGAACGATTGGCCATCGGTGATCGGTCCTGTGGAAACAATGCTCTGTCCTCTCGAGGATGCGTGGTCAATGGTCTAACCGCTAAGACATGCAAAACATAAGAGTACGCCCCCCCC